TGAGGGAATTTTGGGAATTCTGAGGGAAATTTGAGGGAATTTTGGGAATTCTGAGGGAATTCTGGGGGAAATTTGGGTTTTGGGGGGGAATTTTGGGGATTCTGGGGGAATTTTGGTGATCCTGAGGAGATTTGGGCGGGAATTTGGGGAATTCTGAGGGAATTTTGGGGATTCTGAGGGAAATTTGGGGAATTCTGAGGGAAATTTGGGTTTTGGGGAGAAATTTGGGGGATTCTGAGGGAATTTTGGGGATTCTGAGGGAAATTTGGGAATTCTGAGGGAATTTCGTGTTTCCGGGTGGATTTTGGGATGATTTTTGCGGGGATTTTGGGGAATTTCGGGTGGATTTTTGGGAATTTCGGGTGGATTTTGGGATTTTCAGCCTTCCCAACTGGATTTTTGGGGAATTTTGGGGTGATTTTGGGGTGTTTTGGGTCCCAGGTCCGAAATTTGGCCGCGGTTTTGCTCCGGAGGCTCCTCCGGAAACTCCCCCAGGAATTGATTGACAGGTGGGCGGGGCCTGGGGCCCCATTGACGTCAATGGGGGCGTGGCTTAGACACCATTGAAGTCAATGGGAGGGGGCATGGCTTAGAAACCATTGGAGTCAATGGGAGGGGGCGTGGCTTAGACACAATTGAAGTCAATGGGAGGGGGCGTGGCTTAGAAACCATTGGAGTAAATGGGAGGGGGCGTGGCTTAGCATTAAGTCAATGGGAGGGGGCGTGGCTTAGACACCATTGGAGTCAATGGGAGGGGGCGTGGCTTAGACGCCATTGGAGTCAATGGGAGGGGGTGTGGCTTAGCATTAAAGTCAAGGGGAGGGGGCGTGGCTTATCCTCCATAGGAGTTAATTGGTGGCAACCAGGCTTATTTAAAAATGCTAATTAAAAAAGGGGTGGGGCTAATTTGAGGGATTAATTAGGGAGAGGAAATAGCTCAAAGTGGGCGTGGCCTCAGGTTAATTAAGTAGTGGGAGTGGCTTGATTAACAGCGTTAATTAGAGAGGGGGAGGAGCTTAAAGCTCTAAAAGGGGTGGGGTTTGAGCATATATGGTAATGAGGGGGCGGGGCTAACCGCGGCCACGCCCCCTCCAGGCTCCCCCATCTCGTGGTCGAGGCCCTGGAGCGGGAGACGGAGTGAGTGGAAATTCCCAAAAATTCCTTTTTCCTCCCAAAATTCCCCAAATTTGGGGGATTTGGGAGAGAAATTCGGGGGTGGGGAAAAACTGGGAATTTGGGGGGAAAATTTGGGGTTTTTTGGGGGGAAATCGGGGATTTTGGGGGAAAAATTTGGAATTTTGGGGGAAAATTTGGGGTTTTTTGGGGGGAATCGGGGATTTTGGGGGAAAAATTTGGAATTTTGGGGGAAAATTTGGGTTTTTTTGGGGGGGAAATCGGGGATTTTGGGAAAAATGGGAGGTTTTGGCGAAAAAATTGGAATTGGGGAGGTAGAAAAATGTGGTTTTAGGTTGAAAAATCGGAATTTTTGGAAGAAAAATTGGGGTTTTTTGCTGAAAAATGGGAATTTTGGGGGAGAATTTGGGAATTTTTGGTTCTAGAGCGGGAAGTTTGGGGTGAAAGTGGGGGATTTGGGGAAAAATTTGAATTTTTTTCCCCCAAAAATGGGAAATTTTGTGAAAAAATGGAAGTTTTTGGGTAAAATGTGGGAATTTGGGATAAAAACGGGAATTTTGGGGGGGAAAAACGGGGATTTGGGTTTGAAAAATGGGAAAATTGGGGGAAAAATGGGGATTTTGACATGAAAATTGGGAATTTTGGGAGAAAAATGGGAATTCTTCAATAAAAGGTGGATTTTGGTTGAAAATTGGGATTTTTTTTGGGGAAAAAAAGGGGAATTTCGGGGAAAATTGGGAATTTTTGGTGGAAAAGTGGGAATTTTTGAAAAAAAATTGGGAATTCTGGCATGAAAATTGGGAATTTTGGGGGTAAAAAATGAGAATTTTCAGAAAAAAAGGGATTTTGGTTGAAAATTGGGATTTTTTTGTTGAAAAAGGTGAATTTGGGGGAAAAATGGGATTTTTGGGGGGAAAAATGGGAATTTTCTGAAAAAAACAGGGATTTTTGTTGAAAATTGGGATTTTTTTGGGGAAAAAAGTGGATTTGGGGGGAAAAATGGGAATTTTCTAATAAAAAAGGGGATTTTAGCACAAAAATTGGGATTTTAATGCCAAAAAAAATCCATTTCAGGGTGGAAAAATTGAAATTTTGGGGGTAAAAACCTGAAAATTTGCTTTAAAAATGCCAATTTTTTTGGTAAAAAAGCCGAATTTTGGCGAAAAAACCCCATTTTTTTTGCTAAAAAGGGGATTTTTCCTGCTGAAAATGGGAATTTCGTGGGGGAATTTGGGAATTCTGTCGGGAATTTTGGGTTTTTGGCCCCCAGCTCGTCCAGCCGAGGGTCCCTGGCTCAGCTCGGGGCGCGGCTGCTGCTCCTGGGGGGTCCCCAAGTTTGGGAACCGCTGGAAAAATGGATCCAGGAGGCGGCAAAAGATCCCAAAAAAACAGAGGTGAGAGCCCCAAAAAACGGGAATTTGGGAAAATTAAAAAAAGCCCTAAAGTTTATAAAATGTCCAAAAAAAAAATCCCCCAAAAATCCCCAAAAAAATCTCCAAAAAATTCCTGAAAAATCCTCAAAAAAATCCAAATTATTCCTAAAAAAATCAAAAAAATTCCTAAAAAAATCCCCCAAAAAATCAAAAAAATTCCTAAGAAATAAAAAAACATTCTCAAAAAATTCCTAAAAAAATTTCCCAAAAAACTCCAAAAAATTCCTAAAAAATCACAAAAAACCCCAAAAAATCCTAAAAAAATCACAAAAAAATCACAAAAAAATCCCTAAAAAATCCCGAAAAACTAAAAAAAAAATTCCTAAAAAATCCCAAAAGAAACCCCCAAAAATTCCTTAAAACATCACAAAAAAAATCACAAAAAAAATCCTAAAAAATCCCAAAAAACTCCAAAAAAATCCT